GACGGAGAAGGAAGGAGGGGAAGGGGGAGAAGGGGGGGAGGGGGGAGGGGCCGCCGCCGCCGAACCGCGCCGCATCCCAACCCGTCCAACGCTGGCGAAAGCCGCTGACTGCGCCACCGTGGGCGTCCCGCCGTGGCAGTTGGGGGAGGGGGGTTGCGCGGGATTGGGTCGGATTCGAACACACCCACACCCCCACAAACTGGAAAAAAAATATCAAAAAAAATACTTTGACGATGATAGGTCAGTCGTTTCAAAGTATCGGATCACGAAAAGCAAGTTTCCGCCTAAGATAAAAGCAATATATATATATAAAATAATATACAACCTTTGTATGGGATTTAGAAGTGTATGCGCTTGGGGGGCATATAAAAAAAAATACGCAGGAAACACCTCTCGCACTGGTTATTTATCAACAAATGTGGAAAGTAAAATAAAGCAAACACAAAAATCAGAAGACGAAGAAAAAAAAATTTACAAAGTGAATGCTAAAACCGCTATAAGTCAATAAAGGAGATAAGAGAAAATGAATTGGAACCTTTATCTCCATTTGAATTGTTCATATTTTGATTAGCTAGCAACAAAAGTCTGTGATGACCTATTTGTGTCGATGAAACACTTGTTCTTATGAGTGTGAAGCGAGTCACTATAAATATTATAAAGAAGCATATGGTATAATGAAGCAAACATGAAAATTTCAAACAAGTATCTAAACACTTCCATAGCATCATTGAAATTGTTTTACAGTAATCGCTAAGTGTGTTGGGCTTATTGGGTTAGCAATAAAGTGAATCGTCGGCATCAACATAGCCCTTCCCTCCCCCTTCCTCGTCCGAATCAATGAAAAATACGCAAGCCACTCGCGGCCTTCTCACACTCTCAACATTCGTCTGGCTCTTCTTTAAGTTTAAAGGTATTGTCTCCTTCGCTTTGCGTTTTTCGCATCACTAAAGCCAAAAAAGCGTCTGGTGTGTATTTCCACAAAAGCCTCGCGTACATGATCTCAGGAGGAATTGTCCACTCATTTAAGGAGGCTAAAATATCTTTAGCCTGCGCGTAAGGCGCTTTCGGAAAGCTCTGTGGTGTGGTTGTGCGGAGCTCACGATACTTAATAAAAAGCGAATGATCCTCTTGAATCGCTTCGGAGCGCTTCCCTTTTCGTAATCGCCGTAAGGATGGAATGGGTTGCCCTTCTTTATCCTTCTCGGAGTCGGTGCCTTCCCGCTCACGTTTAACGTCCCGCTTAGGATCCGTTTCCGAAGGATTCCCCGGGGGGGCTTGTCGTGTTGGGTTGCCATTCACCAATTTGGAAGAGGATTCCCTAAAAGAGTGGGATACACCGCCCTTGGGATCCACCTTCGCCATTTCCGCTCCTATCGCGTTATTATCCAAAGGCCGGACGTCGTTGGGGGGCGGCGAAGCGAGTTTGACCGCCTTCTCAACGGTCTCTTGGGAAGGTGGGGGGGGTTCTTTCCTCGCAGCCCGCGTGGTGAAGGCGAAAGTGGGATCGACGCGATTCGCAACATTTTGCGGGGCGCCTTCCGCCTTCGCTGACGCAAGCAACGACGGGAGCGCGTTTGTCTTGGGCTGCGCATTAAAATGCGCCAAAGGAATTTCGTCGGCTTCCATTTTGGAAGATTGAGTCAATTCGATCGTTTCGACAAGACCCGCGTTGGGCAAATCGGGGCTAGAAATAGGATTCGGCACTTGATTCGCACCTTTTTCTCCCCGATCGACTACGCTGCTTTCGTCCGGAAGGGTGGCGTTCGCACGGGAGGTGGGAAGGGGTGCGTTGGGTGCTTGCCGGTCTTGCAAATGGGCACGCCGATTCGAATGGGATGAGGGCATCGCGTCCGATATTTTATATCAGGTGGTGAGTGTTAGCTTGTTTTTCTCTAAATCTAAACTATGAAATGGTAAAGAATAGGAAATCTAAAGGCCGCACTACTTGTCTTTTGGGCAGCCATTAAAACTAGTCCGCGTGAGGGAGAAACACTTGAAATCCCGTCTTGTGTGAACAAAGAAATCGGGATAAATAAAAATCTGGTGATAAAAAACGTTAGATATGAAAAAAAAAGAAGTATTTTCTTCACAATTATTCGGAAAAAGGGGATTAATTCATTTTACACACTTTGAAAGTGTTCCGGTATGCGTTATGCCATATACTCGATTTCAGTCCTTTTTACAACCTCAGAACACATAAAATTTAAAAGTTTGAGTGCGTACTTTACAGAAGGTTAGGGGGGCCTTCCATTGAAATAATGTAATACCACCTAAATGCACCTTTCTTTTTTCTTTTAGAAGTTCTCTCCTCAACCTCTAACTTTCCCCTAATCTTTATCGATCTATTTATCTATCTATATGAATCGATAGATCGATAGTGGTAAAAGCAAAAGGTGTCTAGTTCTCTTAGGCGACTTGAAGTGTATTATAGATAGCGGCACTGATTATTAAATACGGCGGCGCTGGAATTGCATGTACTCCTTATTCGTCAGAACCTTCCCCGTCCCATCCTGGAGTTCCTCAAGGTCCTTATCCTCAAGAAGTTGTTGCCGTAGGCTTAGCGAATCCGAGTGAAGTTGATCCCGCATCTCTATCGCCGCGCGGATCGACGCGATCCCCTTGTATTCCTTCAAATTTCGCGTAATGCCGAGCCTGCGGAGGCCCTCAGTGTGGCGCTCGGCCCCAAAGTGCTTTCGAAATCCCTTCGGCCCCCGATAAATGGTGCCCCCACAGACCTCACACACAAACACCTTTTCAAGCTGCTGGAGCTTCATCAGCCAACGCGCGATTGGGAGTCCGTCCTCGCCGATAAATTCGTTAGCCTCGCCCGCCGAAAGCGGGATTTCCTCCCCCTCCTCCAGGGGCTTGAGGCCGTCCATCGCGTTGGGATCCCGATGGCCTTTCGGCTCCGCGAGTTCCTCTTGCAAGTCCCGCCTCGCCTCGCGCGCGATGGTGTCCTCGACCAAATTTGACGTGCTTTGGCCTGCCATCTCGAGGGATTCGAGAAATTCCTTATCGGCTTGCCGCCGCGCGAGCTCAATGCCCTCGACGGTGCGGCTGTAATCCCGCAATAAGATCGTCTCCGTTTGCTGCCAGGTGTGGAACAACAAGGATTGGAGGAGCGCCGTGATTTTGGCCTCGGTTTTGCAAATTTCCTTCACCTCGGCGACGCGGCGTGGGAGCTGCTCGAGCAGCTCGCGCGGGATCCCGCCGGGGGCTTCGGCTTTGGGCGCCGCGTTGGCCGCCGCGATGAGCATTTCCACCCACTTCAGAGGCCACATCGTGCAGGATTTCACGTACGCCTTGAGCGGCGGCGGCACCACCACCCCGCAGGCGGTTTTCGCGGTTTGCGGGAGGGCCATCCCGGCCAATCCGTCCTCCCCGGTGATCGTCAGCGTCCCGCTTTCCGCCGCGAACTTGATGGAGTCCTTTTCCCTCACGAGCGCCGCCCAAAACTCCTCCGCGCGGTTATCGGTGTCCGTCAAGAGATGCTCCACCTCCTCGGACTCCAGCGGGTGGGTGCGGGTGTAGAAGTCCAACAAATACGCCAGCAGCTCCCGCACGTAGTCGCGGTAGATGCCAAACCCGACGATCTTCCGCCCGGCGTCCATCCCGTGCAGCATAAGATGGGCGAGCTCGGGGATAAAGCGGAAATACTCCAGCCGCCGCGGCCACGACAGGCCCCAGCGCACGAGGCGGTCCCCCAAAAGCCCCGCCAAGGAGTCGTCCTCGTCGGACGGCGCGGGCCGGGCGGGCGAGCCGGCGTACTTCGCGGCCAGCATGCTGGTGGTGACCATAAACGCGCTATAGCGGTTGTAGTGGGCCTCCAGGTCGAGGCAAGCGCCCCAGCGCTCGCGAACGGAGAAGATCTGCTCCAGAACTTTCGGATCAGGCATCGATAACTTCTTCTTGATGGGCGGTAAGTCGCGATAGGCGAGGTGGTATTCGCGAATATCCGCAATTTGGCCCTCAAAGGTTCGGACCGCCGTGGCCAGGACCTCGGCGCCGTCGCTTGGGGCCTTGCGCGCCTCGATGATGTCGTCCTCATCGAAATAGGCATCTAAAAGTTTATCACTCGTCGCGCGGATGATCTCGAACTGTTGAATCATGAAATGGTCGATGAAAATGCGATGGCGGTCGTTTTTGACGTGCGCTTTGATGAGCTCATGCTGAACCATGCTGTCGATGGCCTGCTCAATATCCGCCTCGAAGCTTCGGATACGCTCCAAGACGCCGCTTTCCATCACCGCAAGGGGTATTGTTAATCGCACGATGGATCGTTTACTAAGTGAAATGGATTCACACTACCAATTAGAAAATGTCGTTTTTTATCGATTCAAGCTGTAGAGCGGAGAATCCCTTCTTGACAGAGTTGGTAAAGGCTATGAATAATAAAAAAGAAGAATTATGGGGGGGGAGGGGAGGATCACAATAAGGAATGCCTAAACCTCGCTTGAACAACGCAAACCACAACTGCAAACACATTTCAGACACTTGCGCCTCTCGGTGTGAGAGGTGACTTTCGCGTTCGACGGCTTAAAGGGACAATAATAGAAAATCTTACATATAGTCTAATGAAACATCGTGAATATTAAGAATAATAACAGTCAACTTCAAGTTACATGGTAGTGATAAAATAAATAACAGAGGAGGCGCTAAAAATATCGCGTGTCCGCCAAAAAGTTAAGCAAACTGTAATATATTTTTCGGATTAATAAGGAACCGCAAGTTCAATTTAGGAGTCGCCTAGTATAGAATTCACCTTTCACCGAATTGTTTGGCTTCAGTTGGAAGCACTTGAAGGCGGAATCACTTCATTCCCTCCCCGGCGCTTGCTGGAAGCCCGCCTCAGTTCATCCCGATAGACGCCCATCGAGGGCAAAATAAGCCAATCAATAAACCCAATCACCACCAGCCCGCGATCTCCTTCGATTCCCCCTTCATTTTCCCCCCTTTTCTCCCCTCCGTCGGGGGTCAATTCGCTCGCGGGGCGACGTCGGCGTCTACTTTTTACGCCCGACGATGGAGCGTCGGGAGGCGTTGACGCCCTCGGCGCGGCGGCCCTCGAGGTAGTAAACCCACTCGATCGGCTCCGCCACCCCGGGCGGGGTGCACGCAATGACCATCTTCCCAAAGCACGTCTCCACGCCCTCCTCCATCTTGCACTGGACGATCAAATTCGCGACCTTCTTCGGCGCGATAACATCCGTTTTTTTGTTCACAATGAAGTTCCCCCCAGGCTCCGTCGAGACGAAGATCGTGAGGAAGTAGGGGAAGACGTTCTTGAAGGCGATCGTCGTGGAGGCGTCGGGGCGGAGCAGCACCGGGCCCTGGCGCTGCGGCGGGGTGCAGGTCGCGAGGATCGGGAAGTGAAAGACATCCCCGGCAGGGGCGCTGAAGCTGATCGTCTCCGTCATCGCCCCGATGGCCTGCGGCTCGTAGAGGAAGTCGACGGCGATGGCCTGGCCTTTCGGCCACGACGCCGCCGCCGCGGCCTTAAAAGAGGTCCCGGCGGGGGAAAGTTTGGTGAAGATCGCGGCCTGCGCGGTGGCGGTGGTGCTGCCGCCGAACTTCACGCCCCCGATGGCCATCCCGAACTCCGCGGCGACCCGTCCGAGGTAGGTGAAACGGAGGGTGAAGGTGGTGGATTGGCCGAGAGGGCAGACGAGCCGGGTCGCCGGCTGCGGGGCCTGCGGGGTGGCGATGAGCTGGAAGAGGTAGCGCGAGGTCCCCAGCTCCGCCGAGCTCAGCACGAGGCGGACGACGGGGTAGGGCCGGCAAACGAGCGGGATAAACTGGACAGGCAGGCTGGCGGCGCTCTTGGCGGGCACCTGCAGGGTGGGGGGGACCGTCAAAAAGTCCAGCCCGCCCGCGCCCAGCGCAGGCGGGGGCGGGGTCGCCGGCGCGAGCTCGAGGCGCGTGGTGAAGGTCACGGGTTTGCTGAGCGGGTTGCTCAGGGTGAGGTGGTGGACGGCGCAGGTCTGGGCCGCCGCGTAGAGCTCCGTCGTCGTCACCGACTCCACCGACGGGGGCAGCACCTTGAGCAGGATCTCGTAGTACTGCCGCATCTCAGGATTTTCCGCGCAATTAAAGGCCACAGTGCCCTCATACACCCCTTCCCGCATGCAGGTCAGGCTGAGCACCGCCTCTTTGCTGGACTGGGCGCGGATCTCCAGCCCGGCGCCGGCGGCCCCGGCGAGGCTGATGACGCCCTCCTCCAACTCCGGCGTCCAGCGGACCTCGCGGAGGAAGCGCAGCGGCGTCGGGCCCCAGTTCTCGACTTTCAAAGTCAGCGTGCAGGGGGTCTGGGCCTCGGCCTCGACGGAAAGGGGGGGCCCGACCGGCCCCGCGGCGTCGGCGCGGCCCTCGAGGCCGAAACTCAGCCCCCCGCCGTCCGGCAGGGGCAGGAAAAGCGTCCCGGTGTCCACGCCGGGGCGCTGGGGGGCGTAGGTCACCGCCAGGGCGGCGCTCGCGAAGGGTTTGACGACGACCCGCCGGGCCGCCGTCCAGAGCGGATTGCCGATGACCGGCTCGAGCTGCCAGGGCTTGCCGAAGGCGTTCTCGACAGCCACGCAGGCCGTCTGGGCCTCGCGGGCGCGGCAGGCGAAGTGCAGCACCTCCTTCGCCGCGGGCCGCGGGATGGCGTTGCCGGTGACCCCCACCGTCAGCCCCGGGGCGTCCTCG